GGGTATCATGCAAGACTGTTTGATTACCTGAGGCACAGAGCAGTTGTAAACGCTTACAGACAGCACATCTGCTGCTTAACCATGTGCACACATGTAACATCTGATTGAGCCACAAGAGTGTGTGAATGTACGAGTAGGATGAGGTGCTGCAAATTACCTCAGGTGTTGAGGAACAAAAGAGGGAGTCACCACTTTCATTCAGAAAAAAAAAAAAATGTGAAAGCTCTCGTTACGACCTCCACCCTGCTGTCTGGACTTCCACGAATCTAGTCTTTCTGTATTATCCCAGCTATATTTGGATTTGTCTTTGTGCCTGCCTATAATTGGCTCTGCCCTCTTTTCAAAAAAAAAAAACACAAAAACCACAGATGTCTCAGAGTCCTTGGTTTGGTCTTGAGTAGATTTGGGTCACTAATAACACAGATCGACTAGAGCCTTGTGATAATACAGAGCATGTCTGAATTTAAATTGACACAAGGTCAGCATTCTTACGCACCCTGGGATGAAATCGGTTTGCTTTGCAATGCCTTTTGGTATTTCTGTATGCCTTCTTGCTCTATGTTTCATTGGAATAGAAGCAAATGTTTTCCTATTGCTGTGTAAATGCTGAGAGCATCCAAGCTGGTGGAGTTAGACAGTAGTGGCAATTACTGGAGATCAACACGCCCCCAAGATGAGAGCTGCACTGGTGAACAGGCAAAATTAGGCTCCACACACAAACACAGTTCAATCTTTGAGCCAAAACACCCACTAATGGTAGAGACAAAATGCAGGCAAATGCCACTACTAGACTCATGTGAAATCCCAGTTCCAAAGCTAACTTTCTAAAATACTCAAAATAAAAAAAAAACATATTATTAGAAAACCAATGACATTACATACTTTTATTGTAATATTGATATATGCTTTCTATAGTATGTTTCTGCTATAAAGAGTACTTGAACATTCTCAGTGTATCTTTATTTATGATTTATTGAAATGTGTTTGAGTAAAATTACATTTTACTAAAATTACATTTTGTTTTGTTCTACCAAGTACTGACAACATTTAATTTTACATAAAAAAAATAAAATAAAACTTGTCATTTAGAGCATAACATTGTCATTTGTTAAAATACCAAAAATATGCCATGTTTACAGACCAGTTTAGATTAATGTTTTAGACAACTCAATAACAATGTTCTGACTTCAGAAGGGTTAAGAAACAACATTTGGTAGAATAAACCTCTATTGGGGAGGGGCGGAAAGACCAAAATATTACTTTACAGGATGAGAAAGTTTATTTCATTGTGACAATATCTTTCACAAAATAGTTTTTTTATAGTGTAGGTAAAGTAAGTGGTAACTAGGCATGGGACGATAACTGCTTTCAAGGTATACCGTGGTTTGGAAAAGTCAATGTTTTAAAACCTCCAATATTTTCTGCTATACCCTTCCTAAGGTATGTGTAAGATTTTTTATTCACCGTTTTAATTTTTTAAGACAACAGTATCTTCAGCAGAAAAGATATCCAAAGATGCTTTTTATAAATTGTAAATAAGTCTGTGTTTTTAAAATTAATAAATTCAATTATTTATATTATTTAATTAGCTGGACAAGTTTACTGTTCTAAAATATTTAAATGCTTCTCAAAATAAAACATATTGTGTTCAAAGGGGAATTCTTTTTTTTACCCAAACATTTAAAATGAATATATTTTACAGCTGTAATCACAATACCGTGAAACCATGAAAGTGTGACATTTTTATCCAAGGTTATCATACCGTCAGAATTTTAAACCAGCTCATGCCTAGTGGTAACACTTTGTTTTGATGGTCTATTTGAGTATTAGTAGACTGTGAGCTTCATATCTGTTGATACTGCTCCTTCAACAGACATTTAACTGACTATAAGAATCTTTACGTACATATCAACTTACACTAACCCTAACCCCAACCCCAACCTAACAGTCTACTTGCAATCTAATGAGAATTAGTGGACATGTAGATGCAATGTAACTTAAGTTCAACAAATGGGCCACTAAAATAAAGTGTGACCAAGGCAGTAATTCCAGAGAATGTACAGCCGGATGGGAGCCGGATTGAAACACACCATTTATCCACATCACATTAATAGTTGCCTATATGCAACAAACAAAACATAATTTAATTTTAACAATATTTTATCACACTGTTATACACTGTTTCTTTTCAATGGGTTAAAGTAAAAATTACACAAGTACAAGTACACAAATTCTCTCACTTTTTTGCTATCCAGGAGCCATGTGCCCCAACTGACAGGTAAAATTAGCTTCTCTTGCTTTCAAGATCAAAGCCAATTCCATTGCCAAAGCATTTCAGACAAGTATATAAAAATAGCCTACTTAATAACATCATCAAATTAATAAAATAAGCAAAAGAGAAATAAATGACCGAAAAGAGAATAAAAACAGACAATATCGCTAAAAAATATCATAATTACAAGATTAAAACTTGTAAATTATTTTAATAAGGCAAATGCTTTGATTAACCACTAATAATGTACATTTTCAGCCAGTTTAGACCAGTCATTTCGTCTTCTCCGAGTATATAGTAAAATGTTTCTGAGACATTTAGATTAGAGAATATATTATTTACTTTTTCTTCTCGTTCTCACGGCTGTGCGCGCTGTCAGACACATACAAGCTTTAGAAAGCGAAAGCAAAGGTTAACTCCTAGACATTTTAGGAGATTTAGAAACCTGGGCCCGACAAACTTTTTAAGTCCCAAAAAGGCACATATCTGTGAGTCTGCAAAGCTATAGCAGTGTCTGTGGAAGTGCTGACAGGTCTCGTGCACAGAACAAAACAAGAGAAAATTTTCCACTACTTAATCGATCAGGAATGTTTAGTTATATTGGACGGGTACAAAAGAAAAAGTGTTAAAGGATGATTATAATAGTAAACAAATAAGAATTTCACAAAATGTCCAAAAAATAAATTCCCCGCCCAAGCAAAGTTTATGTAAGAGAAGCACTGGTCTATATTATTACACTGCACTTCTACACAGCTCGTGCAAACCCCCAAGAAATCCATCTAACCTGGTTAAAAAAAATCCCTTTAAACTGCAAAACTCTGGAAAAATGTTCAGTCCAATGATCCAGTAAGTGAATACATTTCAACAATCAGCCCAAAACAACACTAAAATAATAACAAAAAACAGGCTGATTGCATCAGAGATAGCAGAGAGAGAGCAGTGACTCGTAGCCAGTTTTCAGTGATTTATTAATTCCACTCTGTTTCACTTTAACACATGATCTCTGTCATATTCCATTAGTTTCATGCATTTCACTGAGTGAAATACAAAGATTACAGACTGAATGTAATGTCGAAATAACCGATTATATGCAAACTACACTTCTCAGCTGGATACTGCTAACCAGCATGATGGATGAGGACTGTAATCAAGGTAAACGAATGAACGAATGAATGAATGCTTATATAATGCGGTTTTAAATGTGATTTTTAAGCCAACTTTCACTGCAAAGATCATTTTATTTGTATAAAAGTCTAAATGAATGCAAAAATGCCAGATGTTCAATTGTTGTCTCAGGTGTCTTTAAAAAGGCAGATGTTTAAATGAGGTGAAAGCATATCTTACTTATAAAGGCCTCTTTTCTGTTATATTTAAAGTCCCAATGGAGCGTGGAGTTCCCTTGCCACTCAGTGTAGAGGTAATTAAGAAAGCGCTTTCTAAGAGAGGACAAGTCTCTCATGAATACCGCTGTCACTGATCAGCTCTGCTGCACAGATAACTTCAATACCTGCGTTAAATACTGCAACAAGCTCTCTCTCTCTCATTTATTTCTCAACAAATTACCCTGAATGGACTAAATGACTGAATGAGGGAGTCCAGGTGGACTTTTCAAAATAATGAGACAGTCAAATGTGTGGGAAGGTTTGGGGACAGCATAAAATGGATTTGCAGTGTCAAATTTTCAAATATGATATATTTCATATTGCAAAAACTAATTTAAATAATGTTTGGTAGGAATTTTAATATTTTTTGACAATCATGAATGCAATATGATATTGTTTGGCTATTTTTACTTTTCCCACCTTTTTTCATTCATTCATTCATTCATTTTCTTGTCGGCTTAGTCCCTTTATTAATCTGGGGTCGCCACAGCGGAATGAACTGCCAACTTATCCAGCAAGTTTTTACGCAGCGGATGCCCTTCCAGCCACAACCCATCTCTGGGAAACATCCACACACACACACACACACACTACAGACAGTTTAGCCTACCCAATTCACCTGTACCGCATGTCTATGGACTGTGGGGGAAACCCACGCGAAAGAACATGCAAACTCCACACAGAAATCCCAACTGAGCCAAGGTTTGAACCAGCGACCCAGCGACCTTCTTACTGTGAGGCAACCGCACTACCTACTGCGCCACTGCTTCGCACCTTTTTTCAGATAAATATAAAAATATCATATAGATGAAAAAATGTTATTGATATTAAAATTAAATTAGATTTTACATTAGAATAAAAAATATTCAAATAAAATATACAAATAATATAACAATACATTAACATTATTAAAATAAAATTTACCTAAAAAAACAAAAAAAAAGTAGTAATTCAGTGCTAAAATAATACTGTTTTAAGAAAAACTGACAGGAAATATGGAAATTAAACAGTAAAACAAACAATAAATAAGTATAGAAAATAAAAACACTCAAGCACTCAAAAAATGCGCTCTATATTTTGATTCTGATTATTGACTGAAGTGTCATGTAGAACCCTTCTCAAAACTCTAATCAATGTAGCACTTGTCAACAGTCTGAGGTCCCCCTTCGAATGGACATAAATTATCCGGAGGAAAAACCTCTTTGGCTGAATTAGTCATGCATACCAACATGTCAACAATGCCATATGACTATCTGCATCTGTTAGAAAACTGAGCAGAATGTGGGAAGAGAGAGAGATTGTGTGTGTGTGTGTGTGTGTGTGTGTGTGTGTTTAGGGTTTCTCACCTCTGTATTGGCGCATCCTACAGCAGGCTCTTTTACTGTCAGCTCCATCCGGCTGTCCTCTTTCAACTGAGGACAAGAAAAAAAAAAAAAAAAAACACTTTATAACGTGCACAATTGAAGACAAAACGATTTTTCTTCTGGAGAAAGTGGGAAAGTGGACAATGAATATTCAATATTATCAGCCCCTTTATTTACTTTTCGAATATCTACAGAACAAATCACTGATGTCCAATAACTAATGTCTAAAACTAGCTAATAAACCAAATTAAGCTTGACCCTTCGCTAAGCCACACCCAAAAACTGCCACCCACCAATCGTGGCTTAGCAATGTCCAGCTTTCGAGCGAGGGAAACAAGCCAAAGCGTTGTGCATATGTATTGTGCAAATCTAAAACCCGGTCTCCTTAAAGTTTGGACTGGGTGGTGTAACTTTTTCCCCTTTCAAAACCTAAAACCCAAGGGGAGGAATGCCAGCGTGAATCAAGCTCTGTGTGGGGTGCTAAAGGAGCAGAGTTTTGTTTTGTTTCGATATTCCGGACATATTCAGTGCTAGACGGCAATAATTCACAGCTCTTACAGTAAAAAGATCTAAACTGTTTTTCCTACAAAAATTCAAAGCAGGTTATGTTTCCCAGCTGTCTTTTTCTCTTTTTTTTTTACTCAATATTATGAGCACTGCTCTGTTTAAGCCTTCGTCATAGTAGTCATACAATAGCAGTCATATTTCCATCTGTTTCAAGCTACGAATATTTGAAATTACATATCAACAGAACAAAACCGTGATGTGATCACAATCTGAGCACTTGCGATCAATATACTTCACCCGCAGCTGTTTTTCAGTCATTTATAAGCCTCGTGTCCATGTCAGAGCTACAATTCACCAATGTGTTCGTCAGTCTTTTGGAGATTTAGTCATTGGTGAGGATGTTATACCGGGTTAGTGTCAGCTTTTTCTGCTTTTTATTTGGTGTCGAATTAATATTAGCTGGAAGGGAAAATCTATTTGCTTACTTTTGCTATTTATACTTTGATTTGCATTTCAATTTATTTATTTATTCAACTTAACTGCAAATTAGAATAGAAACTGGATAAATCGTACACAAACATACTGACAGTTATTTGTACTGTACATTGTTATGGGTAAATGATGCTAATATTCGGCATAAATCTTGTTGGTTAACGCTATATTTCATTGCACATCAATAATCTTTCAGGCTTTTTGAATAAAAAAAAAAAAAGAGAAGTCACGGTTTAATTAATTATTAACAGATTTTTTTTTAAATTTTACCTCTTGTGCTGTGCATGAACTAAGCTGTTGAATGGTCAGCGTATGAGGCGGCTAGGCCATCCTAGCTTCAATTTCATCAAGTTATTTTCTAATCGGTTGCCTATTATGTCTTGAATATACCCCTGTAATGCATACTGCAGTTCTTTCTTTGTCTGGCTTTCTCGGATTTCTCACTAGTTTGCCAAAAATTACTAATTATATCCCTGGGAATGTCTGACACCGGCACATTGTAATAGACGTACCAGGCACGAAAGCTTGACAGGCGTAGCAACGGTAACTAAGGAGGACAGGGCTTTGTGAAGGGTCAATTGCACTTTAAACTGAACACTAGTATCTTCCAAAACACCAAGCAAAATAATATGTTCTCTCATTATGGCAGTGATTCTCAATTCTGATATTTGGGCACCCCGCCCTGCACATTGTGTATGTCTTTTGTAGGTTTGCTTTGGGTGTGCGCAGCATGATTTCGGCTGGTGGAGCGCACTTTATTTTTTGAGACTCCAGCGAACAGTTTAGGCAGCACCGCTCTGAGTTGATCTAAGTTGAAAATAAATCACTTTGAAGATATTTTGTCTAAAACAGGTACGCCTGTACAGACATCTTTATAACCAGATGACCAATAATTCTTGACTAGAAATTTCAACAACGGTTAAAAGGGAAAAAAGTTTGAAAAAAACCTAAAAGATGAGTTTGTTAAAGCCAAAGGAGGCCATAGCAAAAGTGGAGACCCATGTGATTTTGATACACAAAGACAGAAATATGTTTATTTCCCCATTCATTTTGATTTTTAAAACTATTTAATAGTTGCAAAACACAACAGTGATACAACTTTACTTGGTATTACATCAAAAATAACAGCATATAGTCTTTTGGTTTTACAGGAACTTAAATTTTTTGTACGAATTCTGAGTATGGCAAAAGCAATCTAAGTTCATCAAGTAATTGCCTGACTGTAAATATTTTATTGTCATACCATGATTGAATTAATATAGATTTCCTTTTGTACAAGAGATCTTTATTATTCCACAGAAAATACCGATAAGGTTTAAAATTATGTTTATAGACCAACTGCCAAGCCAGAAGTTTCTGCTTATGAAAACTTGCCAATTTAATTGTGATTTTATCAATGGAAAAGTTACATTTTAAAAGAAAATGTATGCCACCCACAGAGTAAAATATAAAATTCGGAAAGATATGACACAAAGCTTCTTTATTTTTAATGTATTCAATTATCCATTTAATCTTAAATACCTCATTGAGATCTGTAAAATTTAGCACTTCAAGGCACCCAAAGTCTTTGCTGTTATTTAAACAATATCAGTTAAGTAAGTAAGCTGTTGATTTTGATGAGCTGATCTTCAGAGTAATAGCATGATCTTAAGTGTGATGCACTGGCTGAAAAAGTCGCATAATATGAGCATATTGACATTTAAATGCCTAATAAGGATCTCTTCAAATTTAAACATCCTCAAGTTGTGATTCCAGTGTTTCAGTCTCAGAAGACATAGAGCTCACACAGAGCTTCCCCCTAGTGGCTGAATGCAAAAAAAATGGTACAATAATACACATCAACTTGATAAAATACTACAGAAAAAAATAAATAAATAAAACTCACAGCAATAGATGGTGACTTTATATGCTTATTTTAAACGAGTTATGCAGTAATTGAAAACAGAACACGTTTTCTGCTATGCATTTTTTTATGCAACCTGAGCAACAAGAATCTCATCTGAGGCTCTTTTCAGTCCAACATAAGCTCACTTTCTCAGAAAATTGCAGTCATTAATCACATAGACTCTAGTACGCGTGTACCATTTTATCGGGAGGTGTTTGATTGGCATGTTTTATGCTTTTGTGAGCGCTGATGTGTCAGCAGTCCTGAAAAGCACTGCTGAATTCTCCAGCAGGACAAAGAAAGCTGACTGCCTGGAGTCCCGTGGAGCCATTTGTATTCTTCACATATCTACAACTTCATTTATTCCATTTAATTATGCTGTCAGAGGCCTTTCTGCTTTACGTCAGCTCATCTCATGATGGACAAGAACTCAAACAGACAGTAAGCATGCTTTTACAGCCAGAGACAAAAAGATTAATATTAAATTAATAGTGGCATTAAGATTAAATGGAAATCTGAATTTTAATCCGCGGAAGATAAATGTCTCTTGTACTGATCTCAACAATCTGGCTTTTTACAGTGTTCTTAACCCTGGATTATCGTTTTTATTGTGTGCTTCATATTCATGGAAACGCTGTACCTAATATTTAGGCAGTAAACAAGCAGCGATTGGGCGAAAAGCTGTCAAATGTCAGCAAATGAATACACTTGATTAATTATTAACCACAGAGCATAATGAACAATATGAAACAAGTTAGCCATTGATTCGGCTTATCCAGGATTTATAATGACCCAGGGTTAACTAATTCATTTTGAAAAGCCCTAACATGTCATCAGTAGGACTGTCATTCTATTATTATTCTGCTTTTTGTAATTCTGTTTAATTATTATTATGGTACGGGACGAAGCAGTGGCACAGTAGATACTAATAATTCTGACTTCAACTGTATATTAGTTTATATATTAAATGGTTTTATTAAATCATTTATCTACAGTCTTGTGAGTCTTTAATCTAGAAATTTTTATTTGGGTGGGAATGCTTGCATTCTAAGTCTCATTTGTTCAAGGGAGCTGATTAGGTCCCTAAAATGTTTTAAGAGGAATGGCTACTAAAGACTAAGGGGAAATACTTAATGGCAGCATTGAATTTCTTAAGTTGATCTTTTTTTTTCTCTCACCTTGCAAACTAATTTTTACTAAGGCTACTCTGTCTTAACCTTAAACTGAGGGATTTTTTGCTTAAGGACTTTCATTCAACCGAGCCCTGCACTGTCCGGCCACATCACTTGCATCAATATCAGCATACTTGTTTCCAATCAACCTGGGAGCTGCTGAATAAAGAATAGTTTCACAAGCCATTGAAGAATCATTGCTGTAAGTCCATAATGTGTATCCGTTAGTTGTAATACTACAACTCTTTGAACTGTTAAAGTGCTCTTATTATTTTGAGAGTTTTCAGTGTGAATGCAATACTTACACTATTTATACTACAATATGGTGTAGAATAGTGCATAAGTATGTAATTTAGGATGCCTCTACTGTGCAGATATTTTTCAGACAGAAAAAGAAAGCTGTGCTGTTACAGAACCAGGTAATAACGAACCAGTATTCGTTTATTTTTACACTTTTCTTTTCAAATTAGTTTATGCACTAATATTTAGTATTTAGATTTACACTAGTATTTAGATTTATCAAGATTGGGGAAAATAAATCAATCTGAACTTTAATGTTTCTTTTTAAAAATTTCCAAGAACAAATTTGAAACGTTCATATTTTCGCTTTACTGTATGTTAACAACTGCAACTTTGTCTCAAAAACAGCAAAGCAAAATAAAAAGGCAGAGGCTTGTTTGATGAGAGACTGCAGTTTTTGTCCACTGTCTCTATGCTGAGAAAAATACCTCCCCCAAGAGGACTGTCCTCCCTTCAACTGGCCTACACAAGGAATCGACTTCAAAAAGATAAAAAAATAAATAAATAAACAACAACAAAAATATATGTTTTTAGCTCTGCCAGAACACAGACTGTTTTGACATGGCATGGCAGAGTACTCTGTGGCAGCATGGGACATGGCCTCTATTACAATGCAGCAAGCGGTTTCTGAGAAACACTGCTGATATTTGAAATTGACACCCAAACAAACACAACCCTCCCCAGATAGGTCTGTCCAACAAACTGATGAATATGAAGAAATGACAGATTTCCGCTATGGAAAGCTTCATATTCTAGAGAGCATCTGATTGGACAAGAACAAGAAATGACAAGCTGAGGTGCAGAGTGATGTCAAGAAAATCATTGCTCACATGTCATTGTTTCTGAGATACTAGCTTATAGATTACTGTAAAGCGACAGTTCACCCAAAAAAGATGTAAGTGAGTGACTTTTTTTTTTTTTGCTTCAGTAGATCATAAAAGAAGATTTTTAGCTGAATTTGTGGTCACTGGTGATTGATTTAGTGAATGGTTACAAGCATTTAGACTAAAATTTAACACATGCAAACAAGGCCAAATCAAAAGCCATGGCTCCTGATAACACACCGTGGTCTTGTGAGGCAAAACGATCAGTAAGTGTAAGAAATGGAACTTTATTTGCAATATTATTAGCCAAAATCCACAACCTGCTCAAACCATTATTGGCGCATTTGCAAATGTAGTCCTCTTGTAGTACGGTAGCTTTTGATGAGGAAAGCACAAGGGCAAATCATTTATTCCTTCTTTTTTTTTCGCCTAGTTCCTTTATTCATCAGGGGTGGCCAAAGCACAAGGGCAAATCATTTATTCATCCTTTTTTTTTTTCGGCCTAGTTTCTTTATTTATCAGGGGTGGCCAAAGTGGAATGAACCGCCAATTTATCCAGTGGCAGGTGCCCTTCCAGCTGCTACAGTACTGGGAAACATCCATACACACTCATTCACACACATATACAGCTTATTTGGTTTATTCAATTTACATATCCCGTTTAAGCACACTGTCACATTTTCAAATTATTCTGTAAAATAGTTGGTGAACTAAATGTCTTTTAAAAAAGTTGATACCATGTCTTTTTTTATTGCTGCATTGCTTTAAGAAAATAATATATGACTGTTGTTGATCTGTAAAATTTATTTCCATTTATCAGTAACTAAATCTCAGTAATTTTGAGACCAACCAAACTGTGACATAGCAGAGTGGTTCACACAACAGCAGTCTCGCATGTAGTCCTGCTGACATTTTTATTGATGCTGTCTACTGTTTTGTGTCAGGATACGTTTTCAGAACTGCATGAATGCTAAAGTTCATTCATTTGTAAATCTTTTCTTTAGATTAGTTCCTTATTTATCAGGGGTGGTTACAGCGGAATGAACCGCCAACTATTCCAGCATATGTTGTACACAGCATATGCCCTTCCAGCCGCAACCCAATATTGGGAAACAACCATACATTCACACACATTCATACACTACCTGACAAAAGTCTTGTTTATTATGCAAGTTTTAGGAACAACACATAATAAATTGACTTCTAGTTGATCATTTGGTATCAGATATGGCTTACATGACAGGCCAGGGCCTCAAGATTGCATTTCTTGATTTTTAATTATTTAATTAGGACAGTAAGGTCTGACCTTGCTTAGTCTAAAGTCTTGTTACTTAACAGAAATAATGTACAGTATAGAATGTAAATTCATGGAGAAGACAAAAAGCTCCCATGAGCTTGAAGGACTGCATCCATACATGTCTGCAATGACTCAAATATCTTAATAAAGTCATCTGGAATGGCAAAGAACACATTCTTGCAGGACTCCCAGAGTTCATGATGATAATTTGGATTGATCTTCAACCCCTCCTCCATCTTACCTCAGACATGCTCAATAAATTTCATATCTGGTAAATGGGCTGGCCAATCCTGGAGCACCTTCACAGGACTCGAAATTAACTTTTCTATTTACTAACTTCAAATGTTTAGGAGCACCAAAAAAGATTTAGGAGCACCTACAAAAAAAGAATGAGCAAAGTTGCAAGTTGTATTTGAAGGGATTTATTGCATCTTAAAACAACATCAATTAACAAAACCAGAAACTAACAAAAACCAGAAACAGATGATGAAAATGACAATAATAGTAACATTCATTCATTTGTCAGCTTAGTCCCTTAATCTGGGATCACCACAGTGGAACGAACCCCCAACTTATCCAGCACATTTTTACGCAGCGATTGCCGTTCCAGCCCTTCCCATCTCAGCGAAACATCCACAAGCACTCATTCACACACACTCATACACTACGGACAATTTGGCCTACCCAATTCACCTGTAGCGCATGTCTTTGGACTGAGTGGGAAACCGGAGCACCCGTAAGAAACCCACGCGAACGCAGGGAGAACATGCAAACTCCACACAGAAACGCCAACTGAGCTGAGGATCGAACCAGTGACCCAGTGACCTTCTTGCTGTGAGGCAACAGCACTACCTACTGCGCCACTGCTTCGCCCCAATAATACTAACAATGAATTACATTTCTCATTATCATGCTGCCTTGAATGTGCATGTATGCAAGTTATCTGCTGTAAAAAGTCTGTTTCTTTATGAAAAATAAAATTATGGTTTGCATCAAACAAAAATGAAGCATTGCAGTAAGAAATATTTATTTTGTACTGCTGTTTTTTTACATGCATATCAATTTAATAAATAATTTTACTGCTACAAAACAAACGAAAGTTTATAATAAATCATTCAATTCAAAGCTGAAAGCTGCAAAACAGTCAATAGTAACTAAATAGAAATATAATATACATCTCAAGTAAGAATAGACAAAAGAAAGTAAGAAAAGTCTCACTTCTATCACTCTTTAAAAGTTTTGGTTTCAGTTTGTGTCAATTTAAATGTTTAGTCTGAGCTGATTTTCATTCTTCTGTGTTTGTGGAATAAAACAGACGAGTCAGCCGACCTAATATATGAGCAGGCCGAGCAAGATTCTCATGATGACCACCGGCGCAATACCTCTCTTTGTTATAAGCCGCAGTTTCAGTGTGAACTCAGTAAAGACGAGCTTCTTTGGCGATGATATGCATAGTATTAGATTTTACATTTAGCAAACATTTGCGCTGAACACGCAGTGAATGCAATCGAGATTCGGGCGCCCTCACTCTTCAGCCGTTTGCATTTTCCACATTCATAAAAGCTCCCTCCCTGTCATCTAACAGCCGAACACTTTGAGTGATTGACAGCTAATTTGAACCAATATAGTGGCAGAGAAAAGCGATTCAGCACGTTTTTAGAAAATAAATCAAAACAGGTCGCACTACAACCATAATATGCAGTTGCACAAATATTATGAGGATTAGTTATTAGTATAGATTAATTTTCGGGTGCATAATTTCGAGCCCTGCTTGATCTTCTTAGTTTTCACGAACTTTGATGTGGAGGCTGAAGTATGAGGCGAGCTATCCTGAAGTGCTATCCTGAACCTCACCTATGGTTTGTAATGTAATGGGCTGTATAAATGTCTTGATACCTCGTGCTGTTGATGTTGCTATCCACTCTGCAGATCACTTGCATGCCCTCATAATAAATGTAACCTAAAACCACGATTTTCCATTCACCAATCTTGACTGATTGCTCTGAGAATCTTGGGTCATTGCAGGTTCCAATAAGCCTTCTGCAGTATTTGTGATGATTGAGATGTAGTTCAGCAGATGATTCATTGGAAAAACTTACCTTCTGCCACTTTTCCAAATGATCAACTAGAAGTCATTATGTTTTGCTCGTACAACTGGGATGGACGACAAGACTTTTGTCAGGTAGTGTACACTACAGTCAGTTTAGTTCAGCCAATTCACCTATAGTGCATGTCTTTGCACTGTGGGGGAAACCGGAGCACCCGAAGGAAATCCACGCCAATAGGGGGAGAACATGCAAACTCCACACAGAAATGCCAACTGACCCAGCCGAGACTTCACTCAATGCTAAAGTTAGACCATTGCATTTCATATTTTTAAGTGATACAATTTAAGAAAATAGCTGCTCATTCGATTTATGTAGACCTTTATTTTCATAATTGAAGTGTAGTAGTAGTCCAAATATAAAATATACACTAAAACATTGATTATTCTTATACTAAAAAATGTAAAAATAAATAAATATTTTATAGAAATGGAATGGCTAAAAATTTTTTTTTTTTAAATTGCTTAAAAGAAAAAAAAAAACTCTTACATTGAGTTTTTTTCTCCCTGCAGTACTGAAAACTGACTACAAAAGCAAGCATTTTGCCCAGTTGATGTCTCACCTCTGGCGGTGTGGAGGCTGGCTGCGGACCCTCTGTGGGTGATGTTGAGTTGGTGGCAGTGTGTTCCCACTGCTCAGCCATGTGATTCACCTCTACCAGCTTCTGCTCACAGCTCTTCTGAGAGTTCAGCAGGGTCACTTCATAAAACTCCTGAATATCTACACAGAGAGAGCGAGAGAGAGAGAGAGAGAGAGAGAGAGAGAGAGAGAGAGAGAGAGAGAGAGAGAGAGGGGAACATAATGTCTTTTTAATACCTACTCGAACTCACTTGTAGTTTCCACACCAGCCTTTGTCTAAATGGGCTTTTGGATTAAAAACAAACATAATCTCTAGCTGGCAGCATATCAAATTAAACGGAGGCAATTTATTAGATTGAATCCCTGGCATCTAAATGAATCCAGCGCAGTATGAAAAAATGAGATTGATAGAGAGCAGGCAAACACATGCTTGTATCTCAAAAAAAGCTGGAGATTTGAGCGCCAGCCATGGTACAGATTAATTTGTGTTTCTGGGTCAAAACGTGTGATTAGACAAATTTCTAGTTAGCTTAGTCAAACAGATTCCAAGTCAAATTATGAAGGGGGAAATATGTTGAGGTTTCCAGTAATTTCCATGAATGTGTAACAATTATTCTAAAAAGTTGTTTACATAGCTATAAGATGTGTAGAAACATTTTAACATCAGTTTGTAAGGGCATCCAAGACCAAGAACTTTCCACAGGTTTGTGTACTTCTTTACAATCATATGTTGTGTGTACTAACCTACATTTCTGTATTTTGTTCTGTGGCAAATACTTGCAAAATTACATTTATCTGTCTTTATTTTTTTTATATTACTCATTTAGGGCATTTAGATGTTTGTATAACAATAGATTTGTTGAATCCGTTGAGAAAACAAATCTAGGACTAGAACAAAAAAGTACTTTTAAGTAAGTTTTATTTATGGCAGGAGTTCAAGAGGCAATGTTCAGAATAAGGAGATCTAATATATGATATGAGAATGCGTGTATGAAATGATACATGACTTTCGTAAACAGACAATCAGGCCGAGTGAGTTTGTTTCAAATGACCTTCATCAACCCCATCTCATCCATGCTTCTCAAACTTCACTGGCTTATGGCAGCCATGTTTTTCAAGATGTCATGACTGACAATCACACCACCTTGAATAAACGCACTGAATGCCAAAATGGAAGTCAGTTGGCAGTTTTGGTGCTGTAATTAACCACAGAGTGAGCCCATTTGTTGACTAAGAACAGTTAAATTATCCCTAATATGTTAAAAGCCACCTGTCATGCAAAATCAACCTTTGTAAGCTGTTTAGACAGACGTGTGTGTAGTACAGTGTGTGAACAGCCATATTAAAGTGGTATAAAGACATCATCAAGTCCCTTTTTTGTTTCTAATGTTAAATCAGGAACTACGGAAAAGCATTCTGGAGACACCAAACACTTATTTTACATCTTATAAAAGGGGCAAAATTATGGCGATCTACAACTTTACTATTTATGGTCACTTTATTTTAAGGCACAATTCTTACTATTAATAAATCATTAACTATTAACATTAAATAATTTGCAGCTTATTAATAGTTATTAAGGTAGTAGTTCAGTTCAGGTATTACATTAGGTAGGATTGATTTTGCACTATTTTTTTTTTTTTTTTTTTTTTTTTTGCACATAAGCCAATTGCACAAGGCACTTTTTGCATAATAAGCACAATAAAAAAAATAAAAAAAAAATAAAAAAACACTGTACATTGTTTACATCTGTTTCATTACTCAAATCAGGTTTACATATTGTTTACTTTCATAGATATTTATATACTTACATTTTATAATCATACTTCAGTCACCTCTGTGTATATATGTGTATTTTATTTGTGACTTGCCTAATTAACCTAACTTACCTAGTTAACCTCTAACCTACCGTAGTTAATCCTTAAAATGCACTTTAAACTGACCACTGGTGTATTTGCAAAATGTGTTATTAGAAAGTAGTATTAAGACTAGCATGTTTAAAAATTGTTTGTGTGTGTTGTGGGGCAGGCGGCAGTGAGGTCACAATTTGGCATAAACAACACGTAAACATGGATCCATCCTGCCTTGAATCAATGGTTCATGCTGATGGAGAAGTAACAATGGTGTGAGGGATATTTTCTTGGCACACTGAGTCCCTAAGTACCAATTGAGCATCATTTAACCACCAAGGCTGAGCTGTTGACTATGTCCATGCATTTATGACCACAGTGTACAGAGTGTATCTTCTGATGGCTACTTTCAGCAGGTTAAAGCTCCATATCACAAAAGCTCAAATCCTTTAAAACTGATTTCAGAACATCTCACTAAACTCAAGTGGCCATCACAGCAAACAGATCTGGAGCATCCGTGCTCTGCTATCCCACATACATATTTTATACACTCACCAGCCACTTTATTAGTTACACCTGTATAACTGCTCGATAATGCAAATTTCTAACCAGCCAATTACATGGCAGCACCTCAAGCCATGTAGACATGGTCAAGACGATCTACTGCAGCTCAAATCAATAATCATAATGGGGAAGTAAGGTGATTTAAGAGGCTTTGAATGTGGCATGGTTGTTGGTGCCAGACAAGCTGGTCGGAGTATTTCAGAAACTGCTGATCTACTGGGAGTTTCACGCACAACCATCTCTAGAATTTACAGAGAATGGTCTCAAAAATATAAAATATTAAGTGTGCAGCAGTTCTGTGGGCGCAAATGCCTTGTTAATGCCAGAGAATGGCCAGACTGGTTCAAGATGATAGAAAGGCAACAGTAACTCAAATAACCACTCGTTCAAATAATCAAACGCAAATAGCCGCTCCTGTCAGCTAAGAACAGGAAACCGAGCCTGTAATTTGCTCAGGCTCACTAAAATTGGACAACAGAAGTTTGAAAAAACGCTGCCTGGTCTGATGAGTCTCGATTTCTGCTGTAACGTTCGGATGGTAGGGTCAGAATTTGGCATCAATAACATGAAAGCATGAATCTATCCTGCCTTTAATCAACGGTTCAGGCTGCTGGTGATGGTTTAATTTAGTGGGGGATATTTTCTTAGCACACTTTGGACTCATTAGTAGCAATTGATCATCATGTCAACACCCCAGCTGAGTATTGTTGCTGACCCTGTCCATCCCTTTATGACCACAGTGTACCCATTTTCTGATGGCGGCTTCCAGCAGAATAATGTGTCATGTCATGAAGCGCAAATAGTCTCAGACTGGTTTCTTGAACATGACAATGAGTTCACTGTACTCAAATGGCCTCCACAGTCACCAGATCTCAATCCAAGAGAGCACCTTTGGGATGTAGTGGAATGGGAGATTCGCATCATGGATGTGCAGCCGACAAATCGGCAGCAACTGCATGATGCCATCATGTCAATATGGACCAAAATCTCTGAGGAATATGTCCAGGTCCTTGTTGAATCTATGCCATGAAGGATTAAGGCAGTTCTGAAGGCAAAAGGGGGTCTAATCAGGTACTAACGAGGTGTATCTAATAAAGTGGCCGGTGAGTGTATACAGTGCTTTATACCACATTTTCAATGAAGACACAAAATTGATTATAATAAGTGATCCTCAATAAGGTCAGAGACGTTGCAAACTGTATTGTGTACATCTTCCCGTGTGCCTCAAGAGCTGCTAACAGAGACGTCAGAGACAGACAAATAATAAAACTAGAGCACAATCACACTGCAGAGACCATCTGGAGAGCTCTGCTCTTTGATTCCGAACAACACAGATTTAAAAGCAACAGTTATGTTAAGCCACAATGCATGGTGGGTAAAAGTCAGCAGCTCTGCTGTGAATCCAGCCACCATATGCTGTAGTAAATGCTAAAGATCCTGCCTTGGAATGAACTAAGCTTATGCTTTGAGAGAGGAGATAAAAAGAAAAGAACATTCTGTGTTTGAAATGCCCATATGGATTGTGCGGATGAAATGTACCCAGCACTAGATGACATTTCATTAAAATAGAAAAACCATTTATCTTCATAAAAAAATTATAATAAAAAATATCTCATGCACAAGTGCTAGAATGTAACATTTTGTGGGACGCAGAAGGCAGGTGGGGAGGGTGCTTAACATACCATAGTAAATAAATTCATATGGGATCTATTATAAACTATAATAGAATAGAACTATAGACTAGTATAAATACTAGATTGCAATAGTTTAACAGTAGCGACTGGCTGTTGATACCCTGTTTCCACTGAGTGGTATGGTTCAGTACACTTTTATTAACGTTATTGATTTAAAGAGATACATCACTATCTCATGGACAAGCAGGAGAATGAAAACAAAGAAAATGCCATTTTTAAATACTCAGACGAGAAAATAAAACGTAATAATATATACATCATAACGAGCCATGATTGACCACAGCTTAAACGAAACTTGTTGCGTCTTGTTGAACAGCCACAGAGCCAAGAAGAAGAGCACAATCAACCCTGTGTCCTGTAGTTGTTTGCAAGGCTGTCTAAAGCGTGAGCCTACTGACACAACACATTAATCCCAATTTCTGAGTAAAAAACAATGCCATAAAATTAGAATAGTTTAAGATTATGCTAAAAGTGGAGAAAAATATCTTGCTTTCTGTAAATGTTACTATAAGATCTGACAGGGATTATATAATGAAAATATTGCAAACCTGCACTGAAAAAAGTGTTGCATGCAGAACTGTTGCAAACAATTTATTTGTGTTAAATTTAAACAAAGTTTAATAATGTTTAACTTAATTTGTTTGTTTAAATTCAACACAAATAAATTGTTTACAACCACTTAACGTAAAAAAAAATAAATAAATAAATCCAAGAAAACATCTCTGAATAATTTTTCCAGTGTGCAAGTATGCAAACCTACAATAAAAAATGGTGACACTCTATACATAACGAAAAATTTCAAAACACTTGCAGTTTGGCATAATATTCATGAAACACTGAATATATGCAATTAAAAAGTGGTTGTCATTGTGCACGACTGATTAAGTGAAGTGCAAATTAAACAGAATCATTAATAAACTAGTTAAATGAAAATAAACAAACAGACAAGTATTTTGTTTGTAAGAATAAAAACAACCAATCAGCTCCCTGTACTTGACAACCAAAGACTGCATTGGTCAACAAAACCAGTGTG